AAATCCCTTTCCTCAGTGATTCCAGGAGATGCCAATAAACGGATTCAAGATCTGATGAATACAATTAGAGAATTGCGGGCAGAATTGGCCTATGTTCGTACCGAAAAGGATGCCATGACGAGGGAAAAGGAAACCGAAGAGGCGAGAGGTAATGACAGGCTAAACCCCGCGCAAGTTCGTCAACTAAAAAATGAAAATGAAATGCTAAAACAAACTAAGAAGCATCTTGAGGAAGAAGTATTTTCAATGAAGGCTGAATTGGCCCTATCCCGTCATCAAGTGGAGGAGGATGACGATGAGGATGATAAAGAAGCTGACGTTTTTGGAGACAGTGAGGGAATTCCGGCATTTATAAAGAGTGTGTTAAAGATTCCGTATTTTCCAGGAACTCAGGCAATACAAAACACGCACAAATCCATTCTTGCCTCACTGACTACTGATCTTGACGAGTATAGACGTATGCTGAAGTACCGATTCTTTTTTATTGGTGCTCCCAATGGAGGCAAATCTAGCGTTGTAAAGTGTCTTGCAACTTCTTCTCCTCCAATGATTCGGAACACGCCGGAGGTTCTTACGCCAACAGTTCATCCAACTTTTACTTCTATTTCTGTGGATGATGCTTATTGTTCAAGAAACGACTGGTATAAGACATATGTTCAGTTTCGCGATTTGGATGCCCCTCAACAACAACAGTCAGGTGGGTTCTTAAATTCCATTGGCATCTCGAAAAGCTCTAAGAGTGGTGTCGTTGATCCCGCCAAAGTTTACATTGACTTATTGGATCTTCCAAGCGATTCTGTTTTTTGGCGTGGTATTCCCCCCTATTTTTTGCCCTCGAAGGGTGTGGTATATTGTTTGGTTTACGACCTTACAAAACCGGTTGAGGAGGTGAAGCAGGACCTGGAAAAACACCTCACACTTCTTCATGCTGCATGTCATCGAGCATACTCGAAGGATATCGGTGGAGATGCAGTCAAGATCGGATTTTGCTTGATTGGTACCAGAAAAGATTCTCTCAAAGATGCTCGAGATTCAGCAGTATTAATACACATTAACAGAATTGCTGTTTTACTTGGTGACACTTTTTTTCGGTTGCGTGGCGAGGATAATCGAGGTCTTGTCTGTATTGGCAACTTTGCTGTGAGCACAAAAGACTGGTCAGTTTTGAGCACAAAAAAGGACCAGGGACCAAGGAATTTTAAAGAATTGAACAACTTTTTGGGAACTATTGTTTCTCAACTGTACTCCAATCGTCCAAGCAGTCTTTTGCCATCATCAAAGGACACCGCATCTCACCTAACTTATATGCTTGGAGACGAATTATTGGAAAGCTCAGCTGAAAAAACTTCACATCTTCTACAAGCACAACAACGTTTGCGACAAGGCATTGTGACCCTTCTTACCTGTTTGCTTCGTGAGAGGAAGGTTCGATGGGCAATGCAAGAAAAAGAACTTAGGTCCTTAATTTCCGACCACTTATGTCTGGACTCAAAGACGAGCTATGGTGTTTTTACTGAAAACTACGTGGTTCGTGAACTTTTTTCCCGTGGGGTTATTATTGCTCTTCCTAACGCCATTATTGAACCCAAGTATTTGCCACGTCTTGGTGATTCTAAACCGCTTCCACACGATGGAGTTGTCGTCTTGGATCCGAACAACCTACTTGTGAATTACTCGTTATTCATGTGCCCAAACTCTCTAACAAGGGTGCCAAATGGAACGCCTTTCCTCAAAGATCGCGAAGTTATGTTCTTTGATTACTCTGCGTTAAGCCGTTGCCAGACCACATGGGGTCAGGGTATTGTGACAGGTGATGTTACTCAGATTGTCAACGCAAAGTTGCTGCCACAAGTGGGTAATGACTTAAAAACTGTACAAGAGTTATATTGTGTCATGGGCTTGGGATTGCCTCTGGGAGCCGAAGTTGCCGTGATTTCCCCATCTCATTTCTCGGCGCGCATGTCTGATTGTTTGATTTACTATCTATCGTACATGATCTCTTGCAATGGAGACGGTGTTGCAAGACAATATAAACTCAACGCAAATCCACCGACTCTTTTTTCTTCTCTCCAAACGAGGCTGGTTCCCTTTTCACATTTACCTTCGAAGGATCCACGACACTTGGTTATGAACTGGGTAGACGCGTCCTTTTTGGTATTCGGGAAAAGCCGTTTGAAGTATGGTGCTTTTGGTTCCAAAGGAGTGAAGGATGCTACGACAAAAACAGATATTCCTCTTCGCGGCATTATGAAACAAGAAGGTCAATACCTGTACATTTGTATAACTGGGCGCCACACCAATAGCGAGGAGGCGATTGCTGCATCTGCCGCAGTTATCGATGCTGTGCACTACGAGTTAACTTCTCTGTGCAAGCGGAATTTCCGTGGTGTGAGGGTAAAATATCAGGAGGTTTTGCTTACTGGAGCCTCTTTAAAGAGAGAAAGCTTTTTGACTGGGCAGGCAACCATTTTGAGTCGCTACAGAGCTGAACCCAAGGTCATTGCGGCGCAGAAGCAGATCACACAAAATCTCAGTGATCCGAAGGCAAACGAGATTGAGGATGCCATCATTAACTTGCCGTTAAAGCTGAGAGAAAAAGTGGAATGAGTGAAAAGCAATGAATTGAGGGAAGTCTTCTTTTTTTTAGTTATTATCGTTTATGCGTTGAAGGAAGGAATAAACGTCTCAAAAACTCGTTTTAAATGCAGAAACACTTATCGCAAACATATTTTAAGCCTTATCGTGACAAAGCTTTTTCCCTAAGTTTTTTTATTTCTGTATGATGCCTCTATTTTGAAATATAAATATATATTTGGGAACGGGGAGTGGGGAGTGGGAGTCTTTTTTCTTATAAAGGTATATGGTGTATTTATGCTTCTACCGCCTCACCAAGCTGCTTCCATGGTGCTTGTGCGTGTGCGTATGTGTCTATGGGAAGCCATTTTTGGAATTAGAAGCTGAACCATAGGAGGATGTATGTTCCATCTTTTTTCCTTATTGTTTTGTTGTCTTTCCACCCCTGGTTTTTGGGAGGCAAAAACATCTGGAAATGGATGCTTGGGAGGGCATTTTGTTTTTACTGTTATCGCCAATTTTATTTATTTATTTATTTATCGATTTGGTGGATTACAACAAATTTGAGAAAAAACAACGACGACATCAACAAAAAAAAAAGAATATTGGTGTTTTCCTTTTATTTTTATTTAATTTAAACGACTTGGTGGTGGGAAGGTGAATGAGAATACACAGAGAAGAAGCATGCTTCGCCGCTGTTGTCCTGCCACACTTCATGTGGCGCCAAGCACCGCAATGGTAGCTGGTGTTTTTGTCAACAACCAGAAGCGCTTTTTAAAAATGGCAAAGTCCGCGTTTGGCTTCTATTTGGCTCGCCGCGGGCAGCGGAAGTTTCCCTTTCTTCGCCGGCCACACATCAAAAATACTCACGCGATGAACTTAAGCGCGCCGTACTTTTGGAGCTTTATGACGGCAAAGAGTCAGACATATTTTTTGCCAGAGGAGAACTACATAACAGGCGATTGGACCGGAAAGTTTTTCGTATCGAAACTGCAAGTGTACACCTTGCAGCACGCCACAAGCGGGTCAACGGTGAGGGTAAAGTCCTTTCCCTCTGTGTTTGAGCTTAGTAGTCCATCAAGGTGGAACATAGGGAAGGAGCTGAACACACTAACAAAACCTCGCATGGACCTTATCGACGAGCAGATGTTAACAAAGAAGCAAAGATTGGACTACGTCAAGGCAGGGTTGCTTCCCAAATGAAAGCGTCTTTTGCACTCTTATCAATGTGTATTTATGTGTCCGAGATAGTCCAAGTCACATTCTCTCTGTTACCAAATTTTTTTTCTCTCTCAAAAACACTCAGTGTTTTGCTGTTTTTTTTTTCTTTTTTCTTTTCTCTTTTTTTTTTAGTGTATAAACTTGTTCCACAGCTAGGGTGCGTGATGGTAATTTGTTCTGGTCGCAAGGCATTGAACAGTAGGGTGACGGATCTCGAACAAAAAGTATGTACAGAGACTGCCAAGCGCCAAGCAGCCGAAAAAGAGCTCTTACAGTACCGTTCCCAGCAGTCACCAGTTTTACTCAACAAGTCGGAGACAATGCAGAAAATGCTTAGCGAGATTGAGCAGGTTAAGGAAGAGAAGAGAAATATTCTGGAATGGCTAGAGCGTGGAGTTTTGGAGGCTGAGCGTGTATCGAAGCAGTTATCACAAATTTCTGAAGCTATTCATCGTACTGAATTGTTTGAAAGCGATGTCAAGCAAACTCTGCAGAAGCTGAACAACCACCATAATGAACTCCAACAGATACTCCACGGGATGAATATGCAAATTGGATTGATGCAGCAGGATATTGACATAAAGGAAAGAAACGATAGCATACAAATAGCGTCGAACGGTTCCAACAAGGCGGAGTGTGATCCATTTTTTGAGGAGTACTTGATTATCACGAAGAAAGTGGAGAATTTGAAGGAAAAGTGCGCACTACTCAAGAAAGCAGAAGAAACTATGGAGTGCCTTGCTGCATGTTCTCGTCTTTCGCTTCACAAACTTGGAAAAATTAGTGTTGCCGTGAACAGCAATAGTGTGTGGGAAGATTTAGAGAAGACAAGTAATGACAGCGACTCCTTTGATTCGGAAGACGGTGAAGCCGACACAAATCACCCACAAATTTTTTTCCCTTCCGCAAAGGTGGCAATTGACCGCTGTGACTCGTGTCTTTGTACAATTTGGTCTGGCTTGAGTCGCTTTGGTTTTGACCAGGTGCATCTTCGGCGCCAACGAGATATCCAATTTCAGGAGGCGTGCATGGCAGTAGAAAGGGATTCGAAGAAAACTGTTGAAAACTGCGCTGGAAGCCTCCAGGAATTGCGCGATGAGCTTGAGGTGTGGAAAAACAAGCAGCGCCTATTTGAGCGTCTGGTGTGCGAGGCGGAGTCGGCATATCAGAGCGATTTGAGTGCAAATCCTTTTCAGAGGGAGGATAATGAGGGTCACGATAAGGGTTTTGAGGATAGAGTGGAATCCACGGGGGATTTTTCCGACAATGCGAAGCGGAAAGCCTTATCTTTGGGAAGTGAACACTTTCAACTGAAAAAGACTAACGATAAATTGAAGAGGCAGTTGGACGTTTCCATGTGTGACTACAATTCTGTAAAGGAATTAAAGCATGCCTATCGTGACCTTGAAGTAAGGAAAAATGAACTTGCTTATGTGAATGAAAAGCTGCGGGTGATTAACCGCTGGATGAAACAATGCGCATGGGAGGTCGACAAGGATGTACCGATGGAGTTTGAAGGAAGGGTACCTTGAAGCGCTTTGCTTTTTTTTCTACATTATCGATTTTTTTTTTCTTTTGAGATAGGGTGTGGGCACGTTTTGCTTCGCATTTTTTTACGTGCTGCCCCATTTTTGTGGAAGCCACAGGAAGTTGATGGCGTGGCCTTCTCATTTGAACTTGTTGGGGTCACTGTTTCCTCTTTCTTACGCTGGTTTTTTTTTTTTGCATGTGTCCAGTGCATGCGCAGGTTACTTCCCTGGAGGTTGTTTTTTGCGGGCGTTGCCCAGCGCTTCAATAGTGATTCCCTCCTCCATGATATCTTCTCCGAGCTGGACGCGTGCGACATAACGCAACGAAATAATCAGTTGAAAATGGAGACATCGACATCCTCCAAAAAAATGAATGGCGGCGGTACGACGGCCACTCCAGTAGAAACTGCCACTGCAGAAGAAGCCGATATTCTTGCAGAGCTTTCCAAGCAACAACACCTTCAACGGCTAGTGCAGGAGGCCAGAGATCAGGCCGCGTTGTCCCAGGCGGAGGAAGCGAAGAAAGGAGAGGTGCGGCGCCATGCCCGCTATGTTGTCTCACCTCCTGCGGCACTGCATCTTTCCAGTGCGGAGTTGATACAGGAGAAATCTCCACAGCACTTCACCCCCGCGGGGGATTCGTCACGAAGGCTTTCTGCACTTCCCCAATTGAACTCTCCGGGAACCGTTGCAGTAGTAACCTTGGTTGGAAAAGTTCTCTCGGTGGCAAAAATGCACGGCGGAGAGGGTTCTATCGAAGAGACTAATGTCACCTCTGTCGATGAAAATGGACCACATGCTCGTTTTTTGGTGCAGTACAATGTGCCCTTTTTGCCTTCATCAAGGCCAGTTACCGTACAGGTGCGCTGTTATGGGGCTACACTGGCGTCCTTTGCCAAAAGATACATCAAATTGGGCGATTTGGTACATGTTCTGGGGCATGTACTACCCCTTGATTCGAGTTCCGCTGACGGCCCCTCTTTTTGCGTATGCGCACTTCCCGTTGGGGGTAATATCTCTGTTGTACTGTCGGCGGAGCATTTGACAGCTCCTTGAGTCCAATAATGGAAGTGAAGACACGTTGGATTTTGCGTCATGACAGAATGTGTTTGTGTGAGACTCTGTCTCTTCTTTTCCATTATCTACCACCATCTCCCCATTCTATTATTTCAATACGTTTTTCTTTGCTTTTTTTCTTTTTTGCTGCTGTTGCTGCATGGATTACCGCCACAACACATAGAGTGGAAAATAATAATACTAATAATAATTCTACAGCATTACAACAAATTCAAAAACAGCAAACCAAAAGAAAAACTATGACGAAGAAAGTGCTTGTTCCTGCGGCCGATGGCACAGAGGAAATTGAGCTGACCTGCATTACCGACATCTTGCGCCGAGCGGAAATTCAGGTGACCGTGGCTTCCGTCATGGAGAGTCAAAACCTTATTCTGTCCAGGGGGCTGAAAATAACTACCGACTCGCTCCTGAAGGACGAGTCGGCCGCTGCGTACGACGGTGTGTTCCTACCTGGTGGACTCCCAGGGGCTGATCATCTTGGCAAAAATGCGCATCTCAAGCAAATTTTGGAGGAAATGCGTTCACAGGGGAAGTGGTATGGTGCCATTTGTGCCTCCCCCGTTTCGGCCTTGGCCCCAATGGGGATGCTGGAGGGTGTGAAGACGGTTACTTGCTACCCTGCGATGAAGGAAAAGATTCCCTCACATGTGCATTGGTCCACAGATCCCGTGGTTCGGTGCGGAAAGTGTTTGACAAGCAAGGGGCCAGGCACGGCTATTGCATTTGGACTTGCTATTGTTGCCGCCCTTCTGACAAAGGATCGTGCTCTAAGGCTGGCGAAGGAATTGCTTGTTGATGAGACGCCGTTTGTTGAAAAAGCACTTAGTAATTTCTGAGAGGCGACCGTGAGAGTGTTTTTTTCTTCTTTTTTTTTTTTTGTTTCGTATTTTTAATGATGATTCCAGCAGTGGTAGGAAATCCTCTTATCAACAAGAAGATGAAGTAAAAAAAAAAAAAAAAAAAAACTTGGTTATGTTCGAGGTGGGATTTTTACGAGGAGCATCAAAAGTAAAAAAGAATAAAATGAGGGGGATGGGTCATTTAAAGGATTTTTCAAGGATGTTCCGCGGTCGAACTTGTCAGTGTGCGTGACTGGGATGACGGGAATGTTTTTCATTTTTTGCTTGTTCTGTATAGCTGTGCCCCTTTCTTTCTATTCCTTTTCCATTTTTTTATTTTTATTTTTGTTTTTGTTTTCTTCTGTTCATTGGCAGGCATGCAGCGTTGTCGTGTCTTTTTTTTCACGTACATTGGATCGCCTGCTCGATTCCGCGGATCAGGCAATGAGATATCAGCTAGCTTCGTTTTGACTCGCACGGTTGACGGTGGGCCAATGAAAATACATTGTATCCCAGGGTATATCTCGGCCCTATACCTTGTCGAGTACCCAGAGCAGGGGAAGTTACTCCTTCTTGACAGTGGGTTTCCCAGTGATTTGGAACGCGTTCGATTTTATGTGGAAGAGGTGATGGACGCCGGGAAGTTCAAAAAGCAGCGGATCTCAGAGAGGCTGCGTTTGGTTGTATCTACACATTCCCACATTGATCATGCAGGGGCATCTAAAGGGTATGAGCGCTGTGGCATTCCGGTTGCATGCCCAAGTGGGATGGAGAAGTGCTATCGTGGCGTGAAGGGGCGGATTGCGCAAATTTATGAGGCTCATTTATCTCAACTTGTGGCTGCTCGATTGGGTCGTAAAGTACGTGAGGGCTCTTTTTTGTTTTCTAAGGGATTGTTGGGCCCATATTGGCAAATGCCTGTGGGGGCGTTACGCTTGGACGATGGAACCCCTCTTCCACTGGGATTCCACGATTGGGTGGCGATCAAGTGTCCTGGTCACACGTCTCATATGGTGTGTCTTTATCATTCCTACTCGCGTATTTTTTATGTAAGCGATATGTTTGTGGCGATTAAGAAGGGATTCTTTCCGCCTCTCCCTATTGACTTTGACTGGGCTTATAATAGGACTCTCCATCGTCTGCGGGGCTTACCTACGCGTTGTGCTTTGTTGCCACACGGGGGAATCATAGACGTTGGAGATCGATGTGGTTCATGGAACGCGCTAATTGACGAAATTGTGCTTCATTATGAATTGAAGGCCAAGCGCAATTCTAGGTTTGAACGGGCAAGGTGTCTCATAGCGGCGAGCAGTCACCTTCTCCAAGGCGAACACTTATCACCCGAATTATTTCCCCGCGGGCCTCTTCCAGTCTCTCCAGAGGGGCATGAACCGCCTCATTTGCACATTATGGATTCATGAATTTCGCCTTTTTGATTGTTACCTTTTTTTCTACTTTGTTGTGTGTTGCTGTTTGGGTGGATTGGGTGGTTTAACTGCGCGTGCTTGCAGCGTCCTTTGTTACTCTCTTCTTGACATTTACCAATCCCTTTTTTTTTCCACTCCTTCTACTCTTGTTTTCTGTCTCTGTTGCCTTCACTGTTTTGAAATCACATGTGCACACACACATGAAAGGTTTGAAAATAAAAAACACATTAGTACGTCAACATTCAAATTCCTATTTCCTCTTAGGGTCTTTTCTGAGCAGCATCAACGGCGGCAACAGGGGCGAAAGAGACGAACACACGGAAAGAAGAAAAGTTAAAAAGGAAATAAGAACAAGCAAACAACAACCACCGCAAGAATACTAAAAAAAAACCAAAAAAAAAAAAAAAAAAAAAAAAAAAACAAAGCGGGAATCACTGAGAAAAACGCGAACGCTCAACAATTAAAAATAATAAAAAAACCAAAAACCATATGGACAATCTTTTTATCCAAATCATTTCCGGTACCCCGCGGCAGAAGCACGACCCTGTCTCTGCCAGCTCGCCAGAGTACACCATCCTGTGCGCCCAAGCACCAACAGCGGAGGACCGTATTGCTCTGCTTATGAAGCGTTTTCCCACTTCCACCGAGGCGAGTTCGGCCCAAACGATGTGCTATCTCTTGCAGACGTGTGTCTCCGCCTCCGTGTCACCCGATGAGACCGAGCACATGGTTGAGGCCTTAGTAGAATTTGCCAATCATCACCCAACTTGGATTGAAACCGTTTGTTGGATTTGTGCTCTTATACATTATTACTGCACAGATGAAGTCACTGTTTCTATTTTTTCTGAGTGTGGTGCGCCCTCTGTGGCCGTTCGGGCGTTAAAAGATAACATACAAAACAACCAACTTGTGTTGGCCGCATGTGCATTATTATCCCATTTTAATTTGTATCCTATAGGCGATGGAATATCCCAACTTGCTCGTGCTCTTCTAGCACACCATTCAGATTTGCTTGTTTGTAAAATGGCTTGTCGGGCTCTTGCAGAGTTTACATCATATGTAATGGAATGTCCTGATAGTTTTGTTTCCTCTAATAAGGAGTTTCTTGAGGCCAATGGAGTTGAAGTCCTTGAAAAGGTTCTGCGGGAACACATTGGGGATGAGGAAACTACAAGGTATGTTGCTCGAATCGCCGCAAATGTGACCAGTTCAGGTATTCCAAGTTCTTTGGAATCTGACTCAAAGGTTATTTCGTATCTTGCAGAGGCAATGGGACGATACGCGGACTCGGATCTTTTATGCAGCCATGCTTTACATGTTTTTAGTAACTTCCCTAATTCCCCGTATATTGAATGGGATGCTGTTGCAACGCTGTTTAAAACCACGGAGTCAGAGGCAACAATTTTGGAGGCGTTCCATTTTCTTTGCAGCGTTGCGATGAATGTCAAGACACAAAAGCAGTTGATTTATTCTACAGGTTGTCTAAATCGTGTATTAGAACTAATGCGTAAATATGAATCCAGTGGAGCTATTCAAGAAAATGCCTGCAGTTTGATTTCATATCTTTCTTTTGACTCTGAGACGATAACGTCAAAAATAACGGAGTCCGATGGGATCCTCTTGGTGCTTAAGGCCATGCAAAATTTTCCTGATAATGAAGACCTGCTTGTTTCCGCGTGTGCTGCGCTCAGCGGCCTGACTTTTAATAACCTTCAGGGTCAGCAGGTCATTATTCAAGAGAATGGAGTGGCACTTATTTTGGATGCTATGCGTTCCGGAAAGAGTGCACGGGTGCAAGAAAACGCAGCTCTGGCAATTGGGACGATGTGCTGGAACAGTGATTTAAAGGCAGACGTCGTTCGGTCAAATGGGGTGGAGTTGATTATGAAGGCCCTCGAGGAACACTATACAAGTCCTGGTCTTGTGAAAAACACATGTCGAGCTTTAGCACAGGTTGCCTTTAATTGTGAGAACTACCGCGATGCAATGTGCGAAAGTGGAGTCATTCCATTAATCATTAGGGGTATGGCACAGCACCCATCCTATGATCGAGTACAAATGCACGGTTGCGTGGCACTTTCATACCTTTCCTGGAATAGTGAGGAGAACTCGGCAAATATTGCCCGAAACAAAGGTTACGGTGTGATTATTGATGCCATGAGAAATCATTTGCATAACTACGAGGTACAAGAGCATGCATCGCGTGCGATTGCAAATATTGGCACGGCTCCGTTTGAAGACCTTGATATGGCTCCCGAACAAGTTGTTGCAGCCATGCGACGCCATGAGCACGTGAGCGAAGTGCAGGAAGAAACGTGCCGTGCCATTGTTACTCTTTCTTTGGTTTCGCCTGCATACAAGGACAAACTATTTGAACTAAATGTCGTGGAATGTGTTTTGGCGGCGATGCGGAATTTTCGTGGTAATCAAGTGGTCCAGCAAGAGTCATGTAATGCCTTGGCCCACCTCGCCTACGAACATGCAAAGCTTAATAAGGCTGTAACAGAACAAAATGGCGTGGAAGCTCTCCTGATAGCCATGAAAACTTATGTAAATGCTCCCAAAGTACAGTTGAATGCATGCGGCGGCCTAAGTGCATTGGCATTTGACAATGCGGTGGCCCAAAAGCAAATTTATGACCTTGATGGTGTCGCATGTGTCATTCATGCAATGGCAAATTTTGAGCGTCTACGCATGTTGGAGTTAGGTTGTTCCGTCTTAGGAACCTTGGCATGGAACACTGAAATCAAAGAGAAGGTTGCTGTTGTGGCCATCCCCGAGATTTTGAAGGCCATGCGTGTGCATTATCAAAGTCCATTGTTACAGAAATCTACCTGCCGGGCTATATCCCAGTTTGCTTTCAACTCGGAGAATAACCGTAAGCTCCTGGCAGAGTCTGGTGCCATACCACTGATTGTGAGTGCAATGCGCTCACACATCACGACGGACAAGCTTCTTGTACACGGGATTAAGGCTCTGACGTACCTATGCTGGGAAAATAATCAAGTTGCTGAGGCCATTATCAACGAAGGCATTGAAGAAGTTCTTGAAAAAATTGTTAATTTATATTCCTCATCGCAACGTGTCTATGGGGAGGCCGTTCATCTTTCCAAGATACTTTTTCGCAAGATGTCAAGCAGTCCTCAGGCAAAGATGTGTTCTCCACCATTTTTTTCTCCTGTACCAATGTCGCAAACGCCTGGACCTCGAGTTACCCGAGCTGAGAACACGATGTTTCCTAGCCCTCCCGCGCAGTTCGACGAGAATGTTCCACACTTCTACACCGTTCCACAGGAACTGATTCGACAGGAAGGGCGTGCACAGCGCAATCAGTGGAGCAACCAAGAGCACCACGTGAGAGGCGACAGTAAGGGGGATGGTGCAGGCCGTCGACGACGCAATCGTCGCCGTGGGGGCAACAGCAGCTTTGAAAGACGCCCAACTCAGTTGGAAACCCAAGAAGGACAAGGTGCAGGCACACATCACGCGGATCCGTACGCTTCACGAGCACAAGAAATAGATAACTGTGCATCCCGTCCTTTATCCGCTGAGGACTTGTGGGATGATCCGGACCCAAAGACGTACCACGGCAACCGTCGTTTGGGTAATCTTAATTGGCAACAGGCGGAGTTTGTTCGCCAACAAAACGAAGGAAAGAGGTCTCCTGGTGAGTTGCCTGGACGCGGCGGGGGACGTGGTGGTAGAAGACGTGGGAACCACCGAAAAAATGGTGTTGGAAGAAGACAAGGTGACCAGGAGAAAGATCATTGAGACGTGCTTTTACAGCCTTTCTTTTCCCCCCCCCTTTTTTTTTTTTTAAACGCTGCTTTTCCGTGTTTTTATGGGCTTTCGGTGTTTTGTCTGGGCTAAGGAGGAAAAACGGGGAACGCAGGCAAAGGGGAAAACATGTAATTTCTCACTTGCGCAAACGCGAAAATAAAGGGTAATGGAGGGAGAGGGAGTGTGTGTGTGTTTGATTGAATGTGAGAGAAGGAAGGACGAAACGTATGCCAAAGAGAAGTATAAAAAAATTTGTTTTATATGACTCTTCTCTCCAAACCAAACCAACCAACTATCAAAAATGAAGCGAATTTTGTTTTATTTTTTTTTTCTGTTTAGGCCTTTTCTTTTTTTTTGTTTGTTTTTTCTTTGTATTTCCACCGTCTTTTTTTTTTTTTCTCTTTTTATTTCTTTCTCCCGACTTTTTTTTTTTGTCTTTAATTCTCGTTGTTTCTGTATAATATAACTTCAAAGCATTTACAACACACTTAAGCCCGCAACCATGAGCGTCCCGGAATGGGCGAAAAACGAACAATCCATTGATGAAGCGAAGAGTTACTTGCGCCAGGGAAATTCCGTGGATTTCTTTGAGCTGATATCCAGCTCTGTTCTCAGAGAGCACCCTAACGACATAGCAGTCTTCTGTTTAGAGTTGGTGCAGAAGATTGCAGACGGGAAAGAGACCTCAGTGTATGATGAATCCCATAAGAAGAAAGTAGAGGACAATAGGTATGTGCGAGAAAAGAACGTCTGTGAATTTCTTAATGAGTGGATTTTGGCATTGCTGAAGGAGCGTCCAACGACAGATGGTGACCGCATCGAGTTTCACAAACGATACCTGCAATCAGTGATAGCTGGCGGAAGCGATCGTAATGGGGGCGCAGTAAGTGAAGGGGAAGAAAAACTGCAAGCTGAGGAAGGTGAAAGCCAGAAGGCAGAGAATCCATGAGAAAGTGTATCAATACTAGATGAATCTGGCAACCCGTGTGATTCCTGGGTGGGAAAAACACCGTGGTCGTCTGTTCGGGGACAGATAAGAATAGAGGCTTTTTCCCTTGCAGAACTGGACTAGCATAGATTGAGAGGTGGTCGCCTATATGCGTTATGGCTGCATTTTAAACTCTTTTTTTCCTTGGACTATTGAGGAAATACGGCATGTCTTCCTTCCTTGTTTATCTCCTTTTTTTCTCTTTTTGAGGGAGGTGAGGGTCAGGAATTGACAGCACTGTAGAAAAGGCTCAGGACTTGTGAAGTGACACAATGATGCGGCACTGGGTATCGAGAGTGGCATCGTGGGGATGCCGTGGCCCTCAAAGGGCCATCTGTACCACACAATGTGTATTTCAGCGTGGCCAGTGGGGCGGTCAGCGTGGTGGCGGCAGGCGTGACTACGGTGATCAGGGCAACCAGGGCGACCGTGGCGGTCAACGTGGTGGCGGCAGACGTGACTACGGTGATCAGGGCAACCAGGGCGACTATGGCGGTCAACGTGGTGGCGGCAGACGTGACTACGGTGATCAGGGCAACCAGGGCGACCGTGGCGGTCAACGTGGTGGCGGCAGACGTGACTACGGTGTTCAGGGCAACCAGGGCGACCGTGGCGGTCAACGTGGTGGCGGCAGACGTGACTACGGTGTTCAGGGCAACCAGGGCGACTATGGCGGTCAACGTGGTGGCGGCAGACGTGACTACGGTGATCAGGGCAACCAGGGCGACTATGGCGGTCAACGTGGTGGCGGCAGACGTGACTACGGTGATCAGGGCAACCAGGGCGACCGTGGCGGTCAACGTGGTGGCGGCAGACGTGACTACGGTGTTCAGGGCAACCAGGGAGACTATGGCGGTCAACGTGGTGGCGGCAGACGTGACTACGGTGATCAGGGCAACCAGGGCGACTATGGCGGTCAACGTGGTGGCGGCAGACGTGACTACGGTGATCAGGGCAACCAGGGCGACCGTGGCGGTCAACGTGGTGGCGGCAGACGTGACTACGGTGATCAGGGCAACCAGGGCGACTATGGCGGTCAACGTGGTGGCGGCAGACGTGACTACGGTGATCAGGGCAACCAGGGCGACCGTGGCGGTCAACGTGGTGGCGGCAGACGTGACTACGGTGATCAGGGCAACCAGGGCGACTATGGCGGTCAACGTGGTGGCGGCAGACGTGACTACGGTGATCAGGGCAACCAGGGCGACTATGGCGGTCAACGTGGTGGCGGCAGACGTGACTACGGTGATCAGGGCAACCAGGGCGACTATGGCGGTCAACGTGGTGGCGGCAGACGTGACTACGGTGGTCGGGGTGGTCGTGAGAGGTATTCCCGAGGCGGAAATTCAACCCGTGAGGGCCGTAATCAAGGTGAAGGTGGTGTTGAAGAGAGACCCTTGGAAGGACCATTTGATGAGCAGGCGGCTAAGAACCTTTTTGAGTTAAAGCGACAGTACAAACACGCCAAGTCTGGAAGGGATAGACGCGACATTCAACGGGAAGCTCGTCGTGCAATTCGTCGTGCACGCGTTGATCCCTCAACGCAGGACGAAAAGACCGTAACATTGCTTCTCAACTGCGCCGCGACTTTTCACAGTTATCCCCATTCGGAGGGGATCAAACAGGCTATCCAATGGATGCGTCAGAATATTGCAGCTCTTTCCCCACAAAATTTGGCTCTTTTTGCTAATGCACTTGGTACACTTTCGGCGGTAGATAGTGATATCATCCTGTTGCAGGAGGTGACTCCAGCTGTGCAGTCTGTCTTTACGCAGATGAGTCCTGTGGAGTTGGTGATGATATTGCAGGCGTTTCAGCGGAACAAGATATTTTCGAACGCCTCTTTGCAGGAATCTATGCTACGACAATTGTCGTCTTGTGTTCCACAGATGCCCGCACCACAACTCTCTACGCTGGCCGGGGTTTTGGTGAGCTCCCCTCTCCGCAAGAGCGATGAGACCACGTGGCAAGAGTTGACCAATGCCGTTTTATCCAAGGCTGTTTCTGGTGTTGATAATATGCACTCTCGCGAAGTCATCACATTACTGAAGGCCGCACCACATCTATTTGTTCCTGAGGAGCCGAGTCTCCAACTCATTCAGCGTGCAATAGACACGGTAGGTTTCCATACAGACGAGCAAGTTGGGGAGATTCTGGAATCTGTGGCGGGGTATCGTAATCTGGAGAAGCCGCCTGGGGAAAACCTCAGTCGTAAACTTGATGAATTGGTTAGCGTGCTTTGGACGCGCCTGCAAAAGGTGGCTCCACATGTCGACGCTTCAAGTGCGACATGGATCATGCACCAGTCTTGCCGCTGCGGAGTGGACGTGCCACCTTCTATTATGGAGGTTATGTTGGAAGCGGTGACCAAAGACATGCGTTACCACCGCTACACATTCCGTCGGTGTGCGGCATTGGCCGAGGCTTTGGCGGAGCAAAAGGCCCCAGCAAAGGCGCTTTTACTGTTGCTTGGTGATTACTGCATTGGTAGGCGGCCTCCACGTGAGGATCGGGAGGAGGCCGACCTGCCCGATGAAGAGGAAGTAACAAAGGAGACCAGAATGGATATTTATTCCCGTTTTCTTGGAGATTTGACGAGGGCTCGTATAGCGCTAGAAAATGCGCACAGCGCAAATTCTGAAAATGGGGAGCCGGGGGAGAGCGTAAAGGTTATTCTCCCCCAACGGCTGGAGGAGAGCGTCTCGGCTGCATCGCCACGTGAGCTATTGAAGTGCGTCAGGGTCATTTGCACCTCCGCGGAGGATTGTCAGGTACGCGATCGTGCGAATGACGAGAAGCTTATGACCCTGGCGGAGCAGCGCATGTCCAGCGAGCGCGAGGGCTTCTTGAAGGACGTCCCGAAGGAGTTTCTGGAGGAGTTTCTTGGCACTGTGAAGGATCGGCCTCGCGCTCAAAAGGTTGTTCTTGCCTGCACCGGATGAAAAGTGGTGGCAGACGCCATGCAATGGCCTTCCTCCTTTTGCCTCTCCCAAAAAAAAAAAAAAAAAAAAAAAAAAAGAAAAAACAAAAACAAAAACAAAAAAAAAAACAATAAAATGATTCAGGAAATTGGGGAAACGCTCATAAATAAATAAATGCTCGAAAGTATTCAAGAAGAAAAAGACGGAATTATCGTCAAATGCGCCATAAGGAAGACCTAGCCTAAACCAATTACGCATGAAGGGAGGGAAGTGGATGGGAATGAAGCGAATTTATCGGCTGCACGGGGGCAAGCCACATTAGGAACCCACGGAGAGGGCCACCTGACGCCTTTCTTCACATTTTATAGTTTGCAATGAATGAAAAAAACGTCAACCTCTTTTCTTAACCGCTTCTCAAATATCTTTGGGCGTGATGAGCAAAGACGAATCATCTTCCGAAGGGTTTTTTCTTCCAGTTGTTGTAACGTTTACAATGACTTCTACAGCTGTATTTCGGATGTTTATTGTAATTTCCTTCAAAAAAAAAGTACACACAAGGGAGGGCAGAGTTTTTTTTCTTGTAGGGTGCTGAATGTCCGGCCTCTGGAGCTTCCGAGAAACGGCTGCTCCACTGCCCTGCCTGAGTGATGCCGCAAGAGCATCTCTCCCCACCGCGGCTATCGATGATTTCATAGAACACGCGGCCGTTGGGGTAACTGACACCTCAATGGAGGACCCCGTGAGGGTTTTTGGCCTGGCAAATGATGTGGATGTGGCTGTTCAGGAGGTACAGAACGCGTGGCTTGAGCGCATTGTGGGTCATGAGCGGGCATCCCCTTATCACCTGCGGCTCTCCCACCAGGAAGTTTCGGGCGCGGTAACTTCACAAACCGAAAACCGCGTCTCCACGGCAGACGGATATGAGCCCCTATCTCCTGAAGAGATGGCAGTCGTGAAGAGTGTGCTCAAAATGCCGGGGAAAAGCAATGAAAGGAAAGGCACTAGTCGCGTACGGCGGCGAGGTCCCACCGTGCCCAGAGCACCCGTGCTGCATGCCGCAGCCTTAGTGTCACAGCGAAAGGAACGGCAAACATTCAGTGGGGCAAATGCTACTGAGGGTACTGGGATGGCGGTGCAAAAACCAATTGATCATCCAATTGACAGGTACGAACAGAAGGAGAAGAGTTTGCTTCACAGGGATTGCAGTGAAAAACGCACGTCAAACTTGACGAGACATGTTTCTCAGATGCTTCACTGCACCTTTTTAGAGCGTATGCAAAGACGAGCTGAAAAACGGCGTCTGGCTCGGTCGGCACTGCGCACTTCACGATTGCCTGACAGCGCGAACGGTGAATTGTCCACCGCGCAAAATGTTCCAACGGACAAGTCGAGGAAAAAACAACCGAATTTACAGTACGATGCCTTGCCGCTGGAGATCCAGGTTGCTCTTTTATCACTCGAGGAAACCCGCAACACGGACGGCGAACTGAATCGCTATTTTCAATATGAAGCCATTGCAACTCGGTGGCATTCTGCTCATCTAAATAAAAAGGCATGGGAATGCTGGCGTAAAAGACAACGCATTCGGGCCGACAGGAGTGAACACAACGTAGCCGCTGATGCGGCAAGCAGTGCTGCTGGTGCCTGTTCTTTGCTTCAGGCTAATTGGAGATCGAATCTCGGACCACCGCCCCACGCAGAGCTTGCGAAGCTTGACGCAAACAAAATGCGAACTCTTCGGTGGTATTTTGTTCTTTGGGTTGCATTCTTGGAGACTGCACGTGACGGGGGCGTAAATCTGGGAATATCTGCGGGGGGTGCGTAAATCCGAAAAAGGGATGCTAGATTATGCCAAACTCCTCCCTCTTTTCCTCGTTGCTATTGATGATAGCATGTGAGAAACCCCGTTTCTTTTATGTATATACTTTTTATGCCATCTGCGTATGTACTGCGTGTGTGTTTCTTTTCAAATTTTTATTTTTATTTTATTTTGATGAGCGTCAAGAAATTCGGGAAGAAATCAGAAGGACGGCAAAACAACGAAAAAAGAATAAATTAGAAGTTCGGCGCTCTGTGTGTGTGTGTGTGTGCTGCGAAACCGGCGAGTCCAGTTTATTTTTCAAAAAAACAATATAATCAGCATTGGCAAATACACTCAACACCAACACCAACATCAGTAACAACAACAGCAGCAGAAAAAATAAAAAACAACAAACAGCAGGTAACAGGACAGATGTCCGTTGAATACTCGGGCTATCTTCAGAAGACGGGTGGGAAATTCTACAAAAAGAACCAGACCCGCTATTTTGAGCTCCGTGGCCCTGTGTTGTGCTACTGGAAGAGGCGTCCCTCTGGACCCCACGTTTCTCCAACGGGCACCATCGATCTTACCAACACTCGCCTCGTCGAGAACCCAAAGGACCCTAGATCATGGACAATTGAGGGGGACCACCTCTCCAAGACGTTCACGCTTACTGCTGACACAGAGGAGCAGAGGGAAGCGTGGGTAAGGGAGATGTCGAAGGTGAAACCAAAAAATAGGGAACAGCCCAGTACGGCGGTTCAAAGCAGTGGTGACGTTCATGCAGTCACTTTGTATACTGGGGGACGTCATAAAGTTTCCCTGGATGACTTTGAACTTAAAGCTACCATTGGGGCTGGTTCATTCAGCAATGTGTTTGTGGCTCGCGAAAAGAGCACGGACAAAGTGTATGCTATAAAAGAAATGGGGAAGGAACTTATTCAGCAACACAATATGCTTTCAAATATTGCCGCAGAAAAACACATCCTACAAACGATCAGTCACCCCTTTATTGTGTCACTCCATTACGCCTTTGAGACGAAGAAATGCTTGTACCTTGTGCTTGACTTTCTGCCCGGCGGGGAACTATTTTTTCATCTTGCCAAGGAGAAGGTGTTGAC